ATATACTACCAAACTAATAATAAACTCAAAAATCTATCACAAGACAATATACTTGATTATCATTAAACCTTTGTGAAAATCTTTATTTTCACATAAATATTCATTTATACCATAATAACATTTACATTTCAAGTATTTGGATTGCATGTCTATGATTTTTACATATTAAAAATTAATATAATCCTACTCATATTATGTCTTTACCTTTTTTTATTTGGCCAATCATCTTTTGTCTACTTTTCATGACAAATTTGTACACAAGATTCTCATTTAATCATTTGATACCATTATCAAAATTGTTGTCAATAACTTTATCTTTTCAGTTCCATTTTTTCAAATATGACATAACTTATTGAGATATCTCTTTATCACTTTCAAGTACTTGAATCTCTTTTAAGGTTTTACAGTTAGTTACCCTCTTATGGAGCATTTGCCTTTTTGGTATGATCATCTTAATTATATGCTCCTCTTTTATCAAGATTTTGTATTAGGAACTAATTAATCTCTCATGCTTCAAGCATGATTTGTTTTCATTTATTCTAATTGGAGCATTTTTAGTTGGAACAAGAAATTCAATAATTCTCATAAGAATCAGTGATTTTATCTAACAAATTCTTTTGTGATATTATAAGAATAAAACATTTGATGAACTCTTGATTCATATTTTTATATGTAAGGATCTAAATAAGATATAATAACAATGCATTCCATATATTTTTTTTTTCAGCTATTCATTTTCTCCCCTTCATGTTTGAAAAACTTTGTCAAATGATGACAACCAATTAATTATGTAGTATGAGTCTCCTAAATCTATTTGCATCCTTTATAGACATTTCTTTGTTTCATTTAGACACAAACAAGAAGGAGGAGGTTTTTATCGAACATTTATCCCAACTTTTCATGAATAACAATTTATATGCAACATGGTGGAACAATAATAATAAGCATTGCACATGTAAAAATTATAGGATGGCATATTTTTGGCTTCTAACTAACAGCCAATTTCAAAAAGGAGAATTTATAATACCTTATTGGTTTAATGTGTATTGTGATGTAGTTTGTAACATTAAATATTTCAAATTAACAATAAAAGTTTTGTTCTCATAAACATTATTCTAGCTCTTTATAGATGAGGCCTTAACGAATGATTTTGCTGGATCACCTTTTAAATAGGCTTTTTTAAAGTTTGAAGTATAATTTCATTAGCATTTCAAACTAAAATTGTTTGGATCACTGTCAAATTTATTGAATATTTATACTATTCGCATGCTATCTAATGGGTCTATATGATTGAATTTGTTATATTTTAGAAACAGATCCATTTTCAATTATATCTATTGAACATCTCATTTAAAAAAAAAACAAGCAGCACATATAAAACTTAAAGTATATAACATGTTTTCTATTCATGAGGAATCTTCTAATTCTTTAATGACGTCAATGCACATCCTCAGTAACCATTTGCATTATATTGGAATAATTAAACAAGTTATGCTCACAATATACAGTGGTTTACTATAACAAAAATCAAATGTAACAATATACAAATATCAATTATTATTCATAAGTTTTGTTTTAATATTCACAACTTTTTTTTTAAATTGTAAGAATTCAACCGCAATTTGCAAGTATCTATTTCGAGGTTTAAGATTTTTATTTCAATCAAAAGTAATTTAGTCTTTTATATTAATTCCTTAATGATAAAAAAGTCTCTAAAAACTTTAGAAAAATTATGAAATTTTGAATGATTAAAATGTCATTTAAATAATTTAAATATATTTTAATATCATTTTTCCTTAATTAAATCATTACGTATCATTTAAAACCAGTGTATCACATGAGACACATACAAGTTTTATTTAATATGTGCATGGTATTAAAAGTACGAAGACCACTTATTGAATTTTTTTAATTTGTAAAGATTGAATTAATGCCAATTAAATAATAGGGACCAAATTGAAAATTAGGTAAAATCATAAGGACCAAGAGTTCCTGTTTCCCGTACTATAATCATGCAAAAACCGTCTTGTTCTATAAATGTCCCGGCATATTATGCACTATATTTTCGAGTTATAAATACAATAAGCTATTAATTAAACATTGCCAGCGAGAACATAGCTTAGATCAATACTATGTTTAGTTGGGGGAGAGGTGAAGGGAGGAATTCCTTCAAATCTCCCAATTTGTTTTTCCATCCAAAAACACCTCCTCTATAGTATTGTCATATAAGGGGAGGGAGGACCAATAATTAAAAAACTAATGACTTGTTTGTCTGTGTTTTCTTTTTGGTTTTTTAAATTTTTTTGTAATGTAGTTTTTAAAATAATTTTTCAAAAATAAAATGAAAAATTTATTTGATTGTGTTAAATTAAAAATAATTTTAGAATACAAAAATTGGTAATGGCTATTAGCGGTTAATAATGATGATATATGATAATAATTATTTAATATGATTGTAGTTTTCAATGATGACATGTAATACATTTTGAAAATAATAAACTTAAAATAAAACTGGTTTAAAATATTTTATTTGTTGTTTAAAAAATATAAAATTAAAATTAAAATAATTTTAGAAGCAATTAAATTTAAAAAACTTATCCAAATTATTTTCTTTTATAAAATCAAAAAAATATTTTTAAAAACAAAAACCAAACAAGCCTTAAAACTTTATTTCGTCCAATAAAAGCTATTAAATGATGATTAGAGACATGCAATAAATTTTGTAAGAAAATCAAGGAAAATAAATTCATTTCCTCCGTTTGATCGACCGACATCATAAATGTAAGTTATTGAGTCATTACTGCCTCGAATAACGACACAGTAATGATAAAGACACTTGATTTACACATTTGTGACTTGGATTCCACTTGGTAATTGTTCTTTGCATCTCTCTTCAGGTTATACTCTCTTTCATCTAAAATTATAAAATACTTTTAAATAAAATTTTATATATTAATAAAATTTATTAAATATATTTTATAATTTTATTTTTTAAAATAAAAATATAAATTTTTAAAAATACCTTTCATTTAATACTTCATTAATAAAAGAATATTAAAAAAAATATATATAAAAAGATAATATTAAAAAAATATTATTAATAAAACTTTATTTTTCTCAAAATATCTTATATTTTAAAATATTAATTTTTTTAAAAAATATTTTATAATTTGAGATAGAAAATATATAAGATATCTGTTAAGTGAATAGAAGAAAATAGGACAATAAGTCTGTTTTGTGTCTGATTCTTAATCTTCATTCTCCAACATTATGAGTGTAATGTTTTCAGAAAATAGATGAATCGACTTGTTTTAGTTAGAGTGAAGGGAAGAGTCTAGATCCGTCAGGGAAGAAAAAATATACTCTTGTTCTTGATAATTTTATCGTTATCGATGATTTGTTAATGTTGATCTGATTGACCTTGCCTTTGTGAATACGTTCTATTTTTCATTGCTCCGCGAGGCATAACTCCCCTCAAATCTATCATTCAACATAGATTTATTAATTGATCCCTATAACCTCTTTCTTAAGCTCGATTAAGGTAAGACTCAAACCCTTTGGCAATTTATCACCATTTTCTAGTTTATTTCCTACTTTTTCTCCGACTTTATTTTATGTAATTGCTAGATTTTTTTTGTTTTGTGTTTGCGCTATTGACCTAAGAATACTATAAAAAAAAAAAAAGAGGTCCAATCGCATTAAAGTGTTTGCTATGAGGTTGGTTTATTTATTTTTGGCTATTTATGAGAGGAATATAATAAAAGCTTTTACACTTGTGAAGGATTGTGGTTTGGATGATTTTTTCCCCTTGTTGGAAATTCTAGCCATTGAGTGAAAAAATGTTTCTTTTTTTTTTTGGCAATGACAGTTAAATTTTTTGCAATGCTTGTGTGCCTAATTTATGAAGCGTATGCACAGATCTATAACAAGGGACGCCCTGGCATGAATTCTTGACATATTTGCCACAAAATCAATTATTTTCCCCCCTCAAGTTTTACTCTTAACAACTTCCATGCTTGAGGCAAAATGTCTTGGACTAGACCATGAATTTCAAATGCCTTGAAAAGCTTTATTTGTTTATTTATTTATTTAATTTTTTGGAAGGAAAAAGCTCTATTGCTATTGCGGGGCAATTCACGTTGAAAGTGAGAGACCTATGGCAATGATTGAAGGCCCCAAATAATCAACCCATTGCCAACGAGAGCTCACCCGCGATTTCTCTTCTTTCACCTTCCAATGCACCTGAAAAAATGTAAATTGACGGAGTCGTATGTTGTTTTTATCTTTCTTCTCTTTTTTAAAAAACAAAAGTAGATAATATGAAATTAATAAAAATTTAAAACTTCAATTTTACTATTTCAAGGGATTTCTCCATCTATCGGTATTCTTTCCTAACTTCTTATATCTACTATCAAAATCTATTTTACATATTAAATGGAACTTAACTCTGTCATACACGTGTACTTCAAATTGACTAGTTTTCTTCTTCAAATGATCACGAAAACATATTAAATATCTGTACTCAACCACATTTCAATTTTCAATTGCAAGGCCCTTTTTTTTAAAATTTCAAGTCCTTTTATGGTAATTCGCCAGGAACATTTAAATACGTGGTCAAAGCTAAATTTCTTGCTTGCTTTGTGATCTCTCTCTCTCTCTAATGGTGACGAAGACTTCGCGAAAATATTCCATCCGTTCAGCCAATGTTATTCGACCATGTGTCAGCTTTATAATATTGACGAATTCTTCGGCACAAAATGAGAATGAGAAATAATATATATCTATATATATATATATATATGTTGATACTTGATAATCGATAGATAGATAGATAGATATATGGTGTGTGCAGGTCTTCGTAGCGAAGCCCATAGGCCGCTGCGTTGCGACGTTCAGACTGTAGAACAGTCAACAGCTTCATAGACTTGCGTAGCACGTAGGCTACAGTCCCCTCTCTGAGTTTGCCTCTGAAGAAAGGTTCGCTGACGATTAAGGTACATCGCTTTATGCGGCTCTCTCTCTCTCTCTCTCTATGTGCTTTCCATTTCTGTTATGATATCGTTTTGCTGTCGTCTTGTGGCACTCTCAAAGCTTTGAAGCTCGATTGTTCTGACTTTTGCTTGCCTGTGGAAAGTACAAGTCTCTGTCTGTCTGTGAATGAGTTGGCCTTTGAATGGCAAGCGAGATATTTCGGGGTTGTACATTCTCCAAGGTTTCCAGGAACAAATGGAATTTTCTGTGCAGATGAATTCATAGTACGGGAAATGAGTTTATTGAGCCGCTATGAGGATCCCTTTTGCTTTTTTTTTTTTTTGGCCCCCGGAACCCCACTACTCAATTGCCCAATTATGAATTCCCATTTTTTGTCCTTTGCTAGCTAGCTAGTCCTGTGTGAATGAAAATAAAAGCACGTAGAGCTTACTTTTAAGCTCATTATACATAATTTTTCTGGTTTCTTTAATCAATGCAAGGACTCCCATTGCATGTTTCTAATCCCATCACTCAAATTCAATTGCCCACTTCTGGATTCCCTTTGTTCTTTTTTCGGGTAGCGTAGCAGGTGGACTTTGAAAATTGATAACTGAAGTTTCAGGGCTTACCTTTATTTTCATCGCTCTTTGTTTTTTTCCCTGGTTGACAGATTGCAGATTAGGTTTCCTTTTGTTATTTATGTATTCGGCACTAACTTTAATTGGTCTTTATAATGCTCTGTTCGTTCAAAGTGGAAAGTTTGAAGATACATGAAAATGAATGAGTTACAACTTCATGATTGGCATGTCCTTTATTTCCATGGCTTGGCTGCTTTTACTTTGAGATTTGCTACCTCGTTTGTTTGACATTGAGTTCATTATATCAATATATATGTGTAGCATATGGTAGTGTGGTGGATTTGTTTCACCAAAAAATGTTACAGAAGTCATCATTGAAGATTCCATAGTGGCAAAAGCTGTTACCTTCCTGCTTCCTCTCTCTTCTTATGCAGGACAAAGGGGATCAAAATAAAATCATGGATTAATTTTTGATAATTCTTACGTAACTTTATAATGATTATTCTCTTAGACCTTATTTGGTGATTTTGAGGTAATTATGGCTGAATGTACAGGGCTAGCTTTCATGAGATTGTTTGCTTGTCAGTATTGATTACCTGTAAAACAGGGTACAATTTATATAGTTGAATATAAGTATTATTCCAAGGATTTCCCCTTTTCTGATAAAGTACACATTCCTACCTAGTGGATTGTTGGTCATCCACTGGAATAATTGATAACTGTAATTGCTTCAGCTATGTACATTTTTGTGTTGCATTGCCTTTTCATCTTTCCAGAATGAATAGCATCGCATTACAGTAGAAATGAGCCTTTTGTGTCTTAATTTTTTAATACAACTCTTCACTATTAGATTCCAATTATAATGGCAACAAAACCTTTCATTTGAAAATCGATTATCTATTAATGATCTCTGTACGATTTCTATTGCTTTATCTCTTATATGGACCTATGGTTTCTGTGCTTACCTAATATTTTGTGGTTAAAACTTCTTCTTTGCTAGTAAGGCATATATTGTATTTTATTTATAAATTTCTGACTACAGTTTGTCAGTGCTTCCTTAGCAGAAGTAATTCAGATCTCTCATGGATAACCAAGATTACTTGGAATCCAATACCGAAGATTTTCCTTCTATTAACAGTCAAGAGAAGAAACATTTGCCATCCGATCAGGTATGTTTAAAACTGCTTTGTTTCGTAAGAGTGTGGACCATTACAATATAAATTGTTACATGACAGTATGTTTGCAGAAACATGATAATATATAAAGGGGAAGTGTGAAATAATTCTATTTTGAAAATAAGTCCAAGCTCATGCAGTTTAAAGTAATCTGGAAGTTGGTTGCTTTGATTATATACATCAACATTAAGAGAAATGACTAATTTTAGCCATTCAAAATATAATTAGAACAGAACTTTTTTCACATGACTAGAAACAAATTTATACTTCACGTTATAAACTATTCTCCTTATCACTTTCTAGCTATTTGCATTACAAGTTTGAAAGATAGCTACATTGATCTCTTGTTAAATCTTGTAGACAGTTGCTACCATGCCTTGTCGAACCAATTTCTCCAGTCCAACAGCTAGGACTTCTATAAATTCTGCACCTGCTAAGAACATCTTTCCAAATATCTTCAAATGCTACGGTAACATTAGTAGTCATTTCCCATTTGTGTAACCTGCTTTTCACAGCCAATCTTATTTCCAATATTAATCATTAAATGAATGTGTCTAGGAATGTTGACTTCCCTAAATAAGTTTCTACCAAGTAACCTTATGACCACTATCACCCAAATCAGTCCCAGCATTGGCAATTGAGTACTCATGTCATCTGTTTTATAAGGCTTTTAGCAAATATTATCTTCTTCTTTCAAATTAATGCTTTGCTGTTTATCCAAGTCCCAAGCTGCCAAGGTAATATCATATGGTGGTGAGGCAAACACCTTCCCCCAATCCTTAATTTTAGCTTTCTTCTGAATATCAGCATCATCAATATTTAAATTCGAGGAACTTGTCTTCAATAGATTTTCCATTTACATGTGGGTCAAACCAAAAGTATATTGCATATATGTTTGGTTTTCCTTTAGAAACTATCGAAACCACATCTTGATGGAAGCAGCCTTTGGTAAGCAAAATGACTTTCAAATCAACCCTTTAGTGGTGACTGCATGCCCTGTAAGTTTTGAACTTTTTTTAATTTGCTTGGTACTATAGATGCAAATTTTGTGTTATACATGCCTTTCAATCTCAGTATATCTTATAATGAAATCTTAGCTCCTTCCCTGCCTTTTAATCTGGGAGTTGCCCCAAAACCCAACTATCATCTAATGGTTTGGTTACTCCCAAGAAAAGAACATGAAATTCTTACTTTGTTTACATTCACTTCATACTTACTTTTTACTGTAAAGGTAGTTTGAATTTGGTGACATGGCTATATGAACACAATTGCAAAACCAGGGATATGGGTGGATTGAACCTGCTATAAATTTACCCTTGCCAATCTTTATTTCAGTCTTCAAATGATTTGTTGCATAGTGATCTGATTGGCATCCTAATGTTTTCACAACATTGTTAATTCCGTTGCAGCTTCCTGAAACTTCCCATAAGAGGGCATCATGGCAAACTACACATGACAGTTTTAACCCTGAGCTGAAGAAAGACTTGACCATTGAAGATGCTGTGAAGGAGCTTGTTCTTCCATTTGTTCCTGCAAAATCACTCTGCAGGTTCAAATCTGTTTGCTGGAAGTGGAACCAATGGATAAATAATCCTTTCTTTGCTCTCCGGCAGAGTAACTGCTTCCAGAAAACATGTGGTTTCTTTTATCAGTGCCCAGGCACTTATCCTGTCTTCGTCTCTTTGGACTCAAGTGCTTATGGTGTTGCTTGCCCCTCTCTCAATTTCCTGCCTGAATATGTTACTGTAAGGGCTACATGCAATGGTTTGATTTGCTGCCAAGGTACTTCGGGGAACAATGATTACTACATCTGCAACCCTACTAACAAGCAATGGCTGGTGCTTCCTGAGCCAAATCTATACCATGGACCCGAATCAGCTTTGGTGCTTGTCTATGAATCATCACTCCTAAACTTTACAGCAGATTATGAGCTCGTTTGTGCCATTCCTATGATCAATGAACCTGTCGTTCGCTTTGAGATTTTCTCATCGAGGTCCAGGACTTGGAGGGTTGTGGACACAGTATGCTCTGACCTGATTGGCACAAAATTTTGTGGAGATGGATTTTACATGAAGGGATATGTCTACTGGGAGACTTACTGTGGTGAAGTTCTGGCCTTGGATCTCAGGTATGAAATGTATAGCATTTGCTCCCTTCCTGCTAACAGAGGGCCAGAAGGTGTTTTAACGGAATCTAATGGGGAATTATGCTATATTATACCTTATAAGCTAGACAATGACGAATGCTTGCTTGAAGTATATGGGGGTATGGAAAGTTGGTGAAGCAAGAAGATGATGAAGAGGAGGAATGTTTCCTTGCCTTGCCCTGTTTGAGTGGAGGCAAATTCGCAGTTCTTATTGGGTGGAATCTGGTGGTCTATGATGTAAAAGAAGACATGGCCGAGTCTTTGGACATAGGAAGCATTTATGCGGGAGGAAAATTTCTGCCTTATGTGAACAACCTGGTACCTGTGCGCCATCACCAGATGTTCAGCGAGATCAGAGAGGTCTCGGCTCAGCCCTGATGAAACCAAGCTGGCTTTATTGGATTCTAGTTTTCACCTTCTAGTTCTGGCAACCCCGGGACAAGTTCTTGAAGGTTTTCTTCAATGACTTGTCCAACAGTCAAGACAGCCCTTTTTTCTTGTCTTTTCTTGCTCGTTTCTCAGGTACTCTTCAAGTTGTTCTTGGTTTTTTATTTTATTTTTTTCCTTCTCAGAATCTCTCTTAAAGTTGTTTAATGCAGTGGTTCTAAACAATGTTTGATGTCCCTTTTCTGTCTTTCGTCTCATAAGGTTACTGGATCTGAATTCTGTGTGTCTCAAATCCGAAGATTACTCCTAAGCTTTAACTTAGAGGCGCCATATTCATGGAGTTTGTCTCACTTCCCTCATTGTAGGGGGGGGGGGTAGGTATACATGGACTATGATGGTACTGCGCAATAGACGCTTCGCCCTTGTTTTAACTATTATTAGAGAAAACAAGAAATTTCAGTGAGGACGAATTGATTGGCAAATAGAAACTTGAATACTATTCCCTTAAAATCTGTGCTATAATCAAGCTTTGTGATGGTAAAAGCCTCTAAATTAATATTTTGTGAGAAATTAAATATTGCTACTCAGGAAATGGTAAGATCTAAATTTGACTGAAGCAGCCATGATGCAACACCTTTTGACTTTTGGGAACATCTCTATCCACCCCTCACAAGTATCGGCCCAATGAATTTGGTTACAAGCCCGAAATATCCCACAATCTCTAAATCAACAGAAAGAGTATTGTTGAATCGGAATTGACGTACGTATTTCAGTCAGGGATCTCTGAATCGTTAAGAGATCCGATCAAGGATCGGTGAGGGGAGGATGAAGTTTCCGGCATTGAGGTTTGTCTGGTCATAACCGCTGGGCTGGACACTAGAACAAGGCAAGAACATTAACAATACATAATGTCAAAAGCAGTCGGACCAGTGCTTGGCATAGCAGCAATTGTTATTATTGCCATCGCTTTCCGTGTAATTTGCACTTCCAAGAAGAGAAAGAAGGCGCAAAATTATGAAGATCCTCATCTTGCAGCAGCACAAGGTCTCAACACAAGTTATCTTGTTCAGTTTTTCACATCCCTTTGTATCATCGTCTCATTTCTTTCCCTATATGTATGTATATATATATATATATATATATATATATATCATCGAGAATAATTATGCCACAGGCATCTTTAAAAGAAACGCAAGTGAGAATAGTTTCCAAGCGTGGCATATTATAAATGAAGGAATGAATTTAGATTTGAAATATATATAGCTCAACAGATAGTTTGTTAATAGCTAAGAATGGTACATATATATAAGATTTATGCATGTATAGGTGGTGAAAATGACAACAATGCACAGCCATCCGAGAGACAAAAAGGTTCGGAACAAGGATGTGACGAACTGAAAGTGGTAAAAGAGGTGAGCGAGGGTACATTCACGTACGAGGAGTTGGCATTGGCAACGAAAGGATTTGCGAAAGGGAATCTGATAGGAGAAGGAGGACTTGGTTACGTGCATAAAGGTGTTCTGCCTAATGGAAAGACAATTGCTGTTAAAACCCTCAAAGAAGGAGGTTCCCATGGCCTTGAGCCTTTCCAATCGGAGAGTGAGGCCATCGCTCGTGTTCATCATCGACATCTCGTGTTGCTCCTCGGATTTTGTATTTCTCGCGAAAAAAGAATGCTCGTTTATGAATTTGTTCCTTGTTATAATTTGGAACATCATCTTCATGGTAACTTAATTAGCTAGTAATATCCCTTTCTTTGCTCTGTCACCGTTGCTTTTTTACTTTGCTGCCGAGAAGCGTATTGTTTGGCAGGAAAAGGTGTGCCACTCGTGAGTTGGCCTCGCAGGATGCAGATTGCAGTTGGAATTGCCAGAGGGCTTACTTACCTTCATGAAGATTGTAAGCATGTCCTTTTGGCAAAAAAATAATAAGAATAAGAATAAGAATAGTAATTCATGCCCTTCATTGTGATCTTCATTTCTTTATTGTCGTCATTAACCATATATCTTTGCCTTCTCACCTCCATTATATTCTTTACAAACAAACTACCAGGTGATCCTCGGATAGTTCATCGTAATATCAAAGCCGCTAATGTTCTCATTGACGAGAGCTTTGAAGCCAAGGTTCCCTTCTAAGAGTTTTACTTTAATTGACCACATGTTTAGCACTTTCAATATTTCATTTTGTTTATAATGTTAACAAAGAATAAATACTATGGCATTTATGTTGGTGCCAAGGCTAATTTGGTTGGACTAATGCATTCCAATATGCAGGTGGCGGATTTTGGTTTGTCTAAGGTGATATCCGATAACAACACCCATGTCTCAACTCGTGTCATGGGAGGATTGGGGTAAATAATTATTTTTCACTGCATTCTCCAGCCGATCGGTTACCTCTAGTATAAGATTTGCTCCTCTGTCTCTCTCTCTTTTTTTTCTCCCCTGGTCAGTAAATAGTATGATTTAATTAACCTGCTTCTTATTTATCTGTAGTTCATGATTTATACAATTTAAAGTAATCTTAATATTACTACCCAAAAAAGGTAATCTAAATATAAGTCATGGTTTTGAAACATTCACATGGGAAGAAGCTGCAAGCAAAAAGGGGGCAATGAAAGTGTCCATAATTGGAAAGTCTTGATTTTGATGTTCAACAGGTACCTGGCTCCAGAATATGCATCGACTGGAAAATTAACAGAGAAATCAGATGTTTTCTCATTCGGGGTATTGCTATTAGAAATTTTAACTGGGAAACGGCCAATGGATCTCTCTCATGCCCTGGATGATACCTTGGTGGACTTGGTAAGCACCTACTCTCACTCTCACTCTCATCAAGACAAGTTATAAATTTCAATTAGTTATTCTCGTAGCTAATTCTCAAACACACCTACTAGATTGCAAATAGGCAACTAAACTAATTTAACAATAAAAACGAAAACAATGTCAATTAATTCGTTCTTAACTCATATATATAGTTAAGAGTTACGTTAATATATAAAAGTATAAAACCTTGGGAAATTATTTTATCACAAGGAAAATTTAACTATATGCTATGAGCAGGCTCGACCACTACTGAATCGAGGGTTGGAAGATGGAAACTTGGGAGAGTTAGTGGACGCATTTTTGGAAGGGAACTATGATCATCAACAAGTTGCTCGTGTGGCTGCTTGTGCTGCGGCCAGCATTCGTCATTCTCCCAAAAAACGTCCCAACATGAGACAGGTATACTCGTACGCCCTCTTTGACAAGCATTACTTTCTGTCTTGAAGTGTTTGGATGACATGAATTTATATGATGGTGGTGCGTGTAGATTCTATTAGCTCTGGAAGGAAACGCATCATCGGAGGATTTGATTGATGCGGGTATACCTCCTCATGATTTTCATTAGTCAGCGATGCAAATGCAAATACCAATAAGCCAGCATCGTGTGGCGACGTCCTTTTGGGATATCGCTCATAAGATATGTTGAATTGTAAGATCTTTGGTTGAATCAGATTCCAGAGCTTTTAAGATATGTTGAAATATGATTCAAAACTCATATTTATACTAACATGCAGACTCTCGAATTTTAATTTGTTATTCATCTAAAAATTTCTTTTACTCTCGGCCCTCGGTCTGAAGTCAACAGAGGAGTCATGTGTTTAATGCGCTGGAGATCGACATTGCAACTCTCTTCTACAAATGGTAACTGGAAGCTGACTCTCCCACGTGTAGAAGCTTAGAAATGGTACAATTCATTACGACAAGCATGTAGTCGGGATTAATCTGTCTTAAATCCCTTTAAACCAGCAACCAGGAAAGCAAGAGTCTGAAAGATGACAAGAGCAGCTCAGGAGCATCAACTTAAGACCCATAAACAGGGTCGAAGAGTGGGGGCTGGCTTGGGCCATGATTGATTCCTGAGTTTTTTATTTTTCTTGATATTGCATAGATATTTTATATTTTCAACTACCCAAGATTTATGTAATCTTTATAATATATTATATGATATGCCTTTTAATTTCTACTCCCTCATTTTTAAATTTTGGCTTCCCCGTTGTCTATAAACATTGTCAATTGTCAGGTCTTTTTTTAAAAAACAAAGAAAGAAAGAAAGAAAGAAAGAAACTTGACTCAACAGCCTTCCTCCATAATCCATATTGAAGCTAATGGCATAACCAACCCATTTCTCCCATTCTTATTGCTCCTTTCAGATAGTATTTTAGTTTAAACTTTCTAATGAAAATAGTATACTGGTGAAAAATGGCAATAATATTCTTTGTTCTTTTTTTGGACCAACATTCTTTGTTCTAAGATTAATACAATCCGTCACCGTGTAAAATATTAATAAAGCACAAATTAACACAAATCATAAATTTAATTTAACTGTCCAAAATTTCAAAATTTCATCAAAAGCATCGTCAATATAATTCACGTTATTCTTTACATTAAGTGGTGTTTTTTTTTTTCAAAAAACTTATATACTTAGTTTTATGTACTTAACATATTTTTATCCAATTAAATTAAAGCAAGTTTATTTAAGAGAAAATGACAATTAAAGACCCATAAGATCATTAAATACAAATAGAGACCTTAAATTATTGAAAATCTCAATAATGAACAATGGTCTTTATTTAAAATTAAAAATGAGTTAACAAAATTACTTTCAAACATTCAAATTAGAGCTAATTAAGGTGTCAAAAAACCTCAATCAACTCAACCCAACCCGACCATAAAATGTCTAACTCAATTAAAGAAAAAGTTGCCCAAAGATTATTGGGCATGGTTGGGTCAGGCTAAACCATCGGGCAAGGCTAGGGTTAGAGTTAAGCTATTGTGCTCGACTCGACTCAAGATGAATAAAATAAAAAAATAAAATAGGAGCCAAGATGTTGTGTCATTTTGGGGGCTGTGGGGTTTAATTTTTTTAAACTCATTTATCATTTTGCAATGCCTATTTTGTCTACCCCTCTCCTAATTTAATGTAAAGCCAGTAATTTGAACTAGCCTGAACTTGCTCGAAAAAAGTTAGAGCCGAATTTGATTATATGAGCTTTTTTAATAGGGTAAAATATTTCAAACCCGATTTGAACAAGCCAAGCCCGAATTAAGCTCGACTCAAATAAAACCGACAACTAAAATTTTTGGCTCTATATGTATATAAAGTTGGCAATTTTGTTCAAGCCTGACAAGCCCGTCTGAACCCAGCCGAAAAAAGTTATGGCCGGGCTCACTATATGGGCTTTTTTTAAAAAAAA